AGTCAATACGTTTGCAATCTCGATAACAAAACACACACTTTATATTACCGTCACTACCGCTCACTTGACTCAATTATCTGTCTCTATATCTATCTATTTGCAATTATTTATCCGCTTTATTTACCGGGCTTATATACTCAAAAAGAGTGTGCCTAGAACAGACTAGATCCTTCGACATTCTCAGACGTGTTACCAGCGTCACGTGACTTCCACTGTCGTAACACTGCCCCTTCCTTAGTATTGTTCGTCCCGAACAATAGCCACTTATATTAAACTAAAAGATAATTAACAATAACTTAATTAAATGTACAGAATTTACAAACAATTAAAATTAAACAAAGTCTCTTAATTTTATGGGACATATCTTCTTCTGTACTGGTCTCTGTCTCCATCAGGAAATGTCCTATTATTGATAACAGTCACATCAGTGGTAGTAACTTCATTAAGGGTTTCACTGTTTCCCTTCTCAAAACCAGGTAGAGTTTCTTCTTCGACAGTGGCTTTTTCAGGTGACACGTCTTCAGCAGCATCATTTGTTCCGTTGTTCACTTCATTCTAACTGAAATGTCCTGGACCGTGATAATGCACCACCTTTGGCTTACCTCGCCGACCACATTTTATTTTGAAAGTAACGTCTGAGAGACGATCCACGATGTCATATGGGCCTTCCCATGGAGAAGACAACTTAGGAGACTACCCTTTGGTCTTCCTGGGATTATACAACCACACCTTGTCTCCTGGTACAAAGCTGACTTCAGTAGATTTCTTATCATAACATAGCTTCATGGAATCAGCAGACGTTTTTAAGTTTGAATGCACTTGATGGTGAATATCATCCATCCTTTCCAATAACACTTTCACAAACTCTGGCACATTTTCAGGCAACTCTTCGTAAGGTGGGTATCCTGTTATCAGGTCCACTGCAAACCGAAGTTCCCGACCAAACATCAGCTTTGCTGGAGTGTATCCAGTGGCTTCATGTTCTGCTGTTCTATAGGCCATCAACAATGGAGGGAGTAAGACATCCCAGTCATCCTGGCAGCTATTACAAAACTTTGCCAATTCCTGTCCCAGTGTCCAATTGTACTTTTCTACCATCCCATCGGACTGTTGGTGAAGTGGCATTGTCCTGATCTTTCATATGTCAAACAACTTGCGGCATTCATGGAACACAGCTGATTCAAAGTTACAGCTTTGATCTGAATGCAGTCCATATGGCATACCAAACCAGAAGAAGAAATCACTAATAGACGAAGCTACAGTTTTAGCTTCCTGATTTGGTATTGCATATGCCTCAGGCCAGTTGGTGAAATAATCCATCACCACACAAATGTATCTGTTTCCAGCACGAGTTTGAGGTAAAGGACTAGCAATGTCAACGGCTACTTATTTCATTGGTGTGCCAACTTGATTTAACTTCATTGGAGCACATCCCTTATGCTTGGGTTCTCTTTTAGCAC